CAATCATTTCATATAGTTTGTATGTGTATGTATGTACATATGACTTAATCATCTATATATATATATATATGTATATATAGCATAATTTTATGAAGGGGTAAAGGTTGGCATAAAGTTAATTAGTTGAAAATTATTGAATTATTTGAGAGGGTTAAAACTCTCCTATAAATTACATCCAATTCCAAATATTTTAAACATATATCAAATAGGGTAAATTTTTAGACAGTAAAAGGAAAAAGTGTATGGGGAAATTATCACTACAAACAAATGTTCGTTCCGTGACACGTACCTCGGAACCAACTATTTGAAAATTGAAAATTGAAAATTGAAATTTCAGTAAAGTGAATTTCATCCTTGCTTGGGTAATTTTTATTTTTTTAATTTTTGGTTTTTTTTTTTTATTTTTTCACTTCATGAAATTTTCGTATGTATTTAAAATAAAAATACATAAGAATTATGTATTGATGAAAAAATAAGAATTAAAAACAAAAATTTAAAATTAAAAGGAATTTAATTTTAATTTGAATTAAACGTGGTCTTTAGAAGTTCATAGACAAGGAACACTAATTTCATAACAATCGTATTTATTAATGCCTTTTGAGCACCATTTTGTAGGGATTAATTAATAAGGAAAGTTAGGATTTTTTTAAAAATATAATTTTTGTGTATTATATATTTTTTTTAAAAAAATATTTTTAAAATTTTTCAACAAACATAATTTTTTTAATGATAAAATTCTTGTATATAATATATTTTAGAAGTTTAATAACAAATAGAATAAGTAAATTTAATATGATTATACTAATTATATATATTCAATCGATGCAGAAAAATTAGTAGTTATTTTCTTTAATAATTATCATTTGACACGTGTTGATTGGATATTCGTTATGATTATTATTAAATAAAATACTACTGTCGTACAAAAAATAATTTTTCTACATAAAAAAAAATTATGTGCTAGTGATTAGAGGTGCTTATTGATTTAGAGCTGAACTTAACCATATTAGACCAAATCGAGAATTGATAAATGTCTATGCCAAAAATTGGATCAGTTGTAACACCCAACAAAAATTTAAGTTATTATTATTATTATTTTTATAAATATAATTATTTATTAATTTATTTTATTTTAGTAAAAAAATGGGTAAAAATTTATTAAGGATTAAATTAAAAATAATTTTGAAAAAAATGAGTGAAAATTTAGATTATTGGGATATTTTTGAAAGAAAAATCAGAAACTGATGGGTGTAAACGTAATTTAAAAAAATTGTGCCACGTTAAATGCCCGGTCAGCAGCCCCGACCAACCAGAACGCGCCAAGTGGCAGAGGCGCTGACGCGGGAAACCACGTGGGCGATCCGCGTGCGCGCGATTGAACGGCTGAGGTCCGTTCCTGCGCGCACGGACGGCCAAGATTGAATCACGATGAACGGTCCAGATTCACTCCTTATTTAATCGCGATCGGACGGTCCATATCAAAAGCGATAGACGACTCATATCAAAAGCGGATGAGTATAAATAACCCCATCCACACTTAAACCCTAACCCTAGCCGCCAGAACCCCTCGTCGGAGAAAACAACCCAGCCACCGGGGAGCCGACCGCCGCCACCTGCCGCCGCACCGGAACCTTTTCTGATTGCCAAAAAAGGTAAAAAAAATTTATTTTTGCACGAAATTCAATTTTGAACCCACCCATGACCAAATCGAAGTGAAAGAACTGATCAATTGGCCGAAAAATACTGTCGAAGCTCGACGGAACCGCCGCGGGGAATTTCACAAACTACTTCCGATGAGGCCCTTTCCGATTCCCGTTTCGTGTAATTTTTTCACCGTTGTGATCACTGTTTTTCTCTCTACAGGTTGACTGAAGTGAAACACCCAACAGCAACGTGAGCCAAAGGAGCTGCCGCACCGAAGAGCCCCGCCGCGGTGAGTTTCGATTTTTTTCTATTTTTTCGGCCCACCGAGACCCTTTAGCGTTTGTGATCACAGGATTCGATGTAAAATCAACCGAATTCGGCCGAAAACGGTTGACTTGAGGCGGACCGCCGCCGCAGGTGGCAGCGCCGTTGCTGGAGCATGGCAGAGCCGCTGTGCTGGATTTCTGAAATTGGCCGAGTAGGTCCTGAGATTGATTTTTTGATTTATTTAGGACATTTGTAGGTACCATAAGCGCGTTTCAATTTTCAAAAAAAATTCAGAGAACCTAGGGACCAGCCTAGGCGCAGTAAACTATTTAGCTTTTCAGCGTCAAATCAAGTAATGACCCATCACCCTATTTTTTATCATAGAATTAAAATTTGAATAAATAATGGTACGGTATTTTGTACAAATTAAATAGATGTGCATAATTAATTACGAATTGTTAATGGAGCCGAATCGGATATTGTTCCATGTTGATTTATTTTACAGTTTTAAAGTATAATAGTATTTTATTTATCTATTTTATAGTTTAAATGCATGTATTACTGCCTTACTTGACCACTATTTGATTTTGGGATTTAAGATATGATTGCATTACCGGATGCATGTTTATTTGTTTATGTGATTATGTTTGATCTGGTAACGGGGACTAAGGGAAAACAGGAAAGGGGTGTGATCAAATAAACAGATGAGACGACAGCTTAACTAGATATCTTGAGAGATGGTGGACGGACCGGGTTCATAAGGAACCCTACCGTGAACATTGTCTCATACCGGACGGAGTATGAAGACTTGGTCATTTGGCGCTTATACTGGATGGGGTATGGGGACGGCCCGCTTCACCCTCATACCAGACGGAGTATGAGAACGACTTTGTAATTAAGATTGTTAAGGAAAAGGGTTCATGTGTAGCGGGGACACCCCTATGGATCCACATAGATACTAGTAGGCTGGTGAAACGAGAAACGGTTATGATTTAGTTTATTATTAATGAATATGAATTTATGATATGTTTTATGTTGTTGATTGTGCATGAATTTATGATCTGTATAATATTATTGTCTCTATATGTTATTTTCATAAATTTCCACAATGGTAAGTGAACGGTAAATAATTTTACGATTGATAAACGAATTTGCTAAATTTAGTATTCCATTAGTTGTTTTGATTTTCTAACAACCTTTGCTTCTGTGCTGGTGATATAGTGTGATATCCTTACTGAGCTAGTGTAGCTCATCCCTTATCTAACCATTTCAGATCAAGAGAACCTGGTTGCAGAGCCCGATCCGCAAGAAGATTGTAAGTAGATACTATATACTTTCTATTTTTCATTATCTTTCGTATTTCTCGTGTTTCTTTCAGATGATTCATTCTGTAATATTTGTTTAGTACTTTTAAGTCATTGTGTAAGAGATGTAAATCTTAACCTTTCATTTCGCTTCCACATTTAAATGATTATATATTTTTTTTTGAATTTCCGAAACCGTTACATTTTAATTTTTGATTAATATGCAAACCTACTTTTTTTTATTTGTTAATTAAAAATTATAGAAAAATTAATTAAAAATAAAATTTGTTTTTTATTTTTGACCCTTTGAATTTTCGGTCTAAATAAACTTATTGATAGAATTAAGACGAATCGATTTTTTTTTTACGTCTTTATATTTGAACTAAAAAAAATCTTAATTCGAAATCGAAATTTTAATTAGATATCGAAATATAGATGTAAGCGGTAGTTACATATCCAACCACCAACTCTTATAAAGTTTGGAATTTGGACAACTTGGCCCTCCATTCCATCTCAGGTAACGCTTATCAAAATAAATAATAAATTTGGATTGTTCCCTGTATTTCATGAAACAGTAAAAGAAGGTCCTCCAGCTAGGTGCAATACTCACAGCAATAAATAATTGAACAACACCCTAAATGGAGGAAGAAAATTCCAAAGTTCATTGATTACTTACTCATTAAATTTCACATAATCTAATTAAATTTTATGCATTAAATAAATTACCATGTACGTCTTATATATATATATATATATATGTATGCTCTTCTCTACCACACAAATTAAGCCATTTCGAAAATACAACACCCAGTACAAGCAAATTGGAAACAATCAACAACAATGGTTTCCTTGCAATCTCCACAACCTTCATCTTCAGTACTTTTCTTTCTTCTTCCTCTCCTGGCTCTTGTATTTTTTTTATCGTCCTTCCGCAGGAAACTACCCTACCCACCGGGCCCAAGGGGGTTACCTATCATCGGCAACATGGCGATGATTGATCAATTAACTCATCGTGGCTTAGCCCAATTGGGAAAAAAATACGGAGGATTATTTCATCTCCGAATGGGTTTGCTTCACATTATCGGAGTTTCGACGCCGGAGATGGCGAGAGAGGTGTTGCAGGCCCAAGACATTGTGTTCTCAAACAGGCCCGCTAATGTTGCAATAAGCTACTTGACATATGACCGGGCCGATATGGCCTTTGCTAATTACGGTCCATTTTGGCGTCAAATGCGCAAGATTTGTGTCGTGAAAGTTTTTAGCCGGAAACGGACCGAGTCATGGGCTTCGGTTCGGGAGGAAGTTGACTCGATGGTTCGAGCGGTCAAGGAGAAAACCGGTTCGGCGGTTAATCTAGGAGAAATGATTTTTGCTTTGACGAGAAGTATAACTTACAGGGCGGCTTTTGGGTCGGTTTCCAAGGAAGGACAGGATGAATTCATGAAGATCTTGCAGGAATTTTCGAAGCTTTTAGGGGCTCTTGACATTTCTGATTTTGTTCCTTGGTTGGGTTGGGTTCATTCTCAGGAATTTAATAAGAGACTTGTCAGAGCTCGAAGCTTGCTTGATGGGTTCATTGATAACATCATCGATGAACATATCGAGAAGAAGAAGATGATGGTGGCCAAGGGTTTTGATGAAGAGGAAGGAGATACAGATATGGTGGATGAGTTAGTGGCTTTTTACAGCGAAGATGCTCAGAAAGGCCAGTTTGATGAATCCCAATTCGCCATTAAACTCACTAGAGATAACATCAAAGGCATTATCATGGTAAGAATTCATCACGTATATAATCATATACATCACTGCATGAGCCATGCATCTAACATTTAACGTAATCTGAAACAGGACGTGATGTTCGGAGGAACTGAAACGGTGGCGTCTGCAATAGAATGGACGCTATCGGAGCTGATAAAAAGCCCAGAAGATCTGAAGAGAGTCCAGCGGGAACTCGCCGACGTCGTTGGCCTGAACCGGGCGGTCCAGGAATCCGACATGGAGAAGCTAACTTTTCTCAAATGCGTTCTGAAGGAGACCTTGAGGCTGCACCCACCTATCCCTCTTCTCCTCCACGAGACCTCCAAGGACTCTGTGGTTTCCGGATACAAGATTCCGTCCGGGTCACGGATCATGATAAACGTGTGGGCAATCGGGCGAGACGGGTCTGCGTGGGTTGACCCGGACGTTTTCCGGCCGAGCCGGTTCTTGGAGGAAGGTGCACCAGATTTCAAAGGGTCAAATTTTCAGTTCATACCGTTCGGTTCGGGTCGGAGGTCGTGCCCCGGAATGCAACTCGGGTTGTACGCGTTGGATTTAACGGTGGCGCATCTTCTTCACTGCTTCAACTGGGAGTTACCTGACGGACAGAAGCCGAGTGAGCTGAACATGGATGACGTTTTTGGACTCACTGCGCCCAGAGCGAGTCAACTCGTGGCCGTACCGAGTTATCGTCTGAGTTGTCCCTAGTAGGAGTGGAGCTAATATGAGGGTGTTGTTGGAGCGTGTTTATTGGGGCACACGATCTGTGTGTGTCAGTTAATATTTCCGTAACTGTTTTTAAGGAATAATGCATAAAATATATTTGTTTAATAAATAATAATGTAAATTTTTAATTTTGTATTTATTTAAATTATTGACAAAACATAATTTTTTTAAAAAAAGATTTTTATTTTCTAAAAATGATTTCATAAAAATTATTAAAAATTTTGTGATTTTAAAAAAGGAAATTTATAAATATTTTGAATATATCCAATTAATTTAACTAAATAATTAATGCATATCTTATTTTATAAAAAATTGTGAATTTTGAATTATTTTTGTTATGAATCGTATTATTTCATTACCAGTTATATAAAAATTTACTTAAAAAAAAATTCGTAACCGCTATAATTTATATAGGGTACATATTCACGCAATTTAAAGAATATTATTTTAATTTTTATTTAATATTTGAAGCATATAATAATAGTACATAATTCAATCTGGTTGTTTTCAGAAATTAAGTAAAAAATATTATATAATTCTTTATTTGATAACAAATTTTACAGAGTAGTAATTAAAAAGTTGAATTTCATTTATGTATTTCAAAGAGCTATATTAATTATAAATTAAGAAATTTGATCTCATTTAATTCGTTTGAAACAATACCATATTTCTAGATATATACAATATTCTTCATGACATTTTTGTACAACATCATTATAGTTAATAATATTATTTAAACGTCATAATTAACATAATAATTTACTTACAAATGTTTTGTATATCTGCAAATAAATCTGTGTTTAATACCTTACCTAGTTTTCTGGATATTCTTCATTAATATATACTTTGAACTTTTACCCATCAGAGATAAGTTAGCACGTGTGTAATATAATCATACATATACAAGTACAATATATCCACATGACCACGCACAAAATGATTATCCGACTTAACCATATATGTATTGGTAACGAATGATTCTCCAAGATTGCTGCATTAACAGATTAAATGGATCTCTAAATTAAGGAACAAAATTTCCAAAAGGGCACTAGTAATAACTTTTAATGTTTTTGCACAGATCTTTTCCAAGATCAATCAATTCCTCTATAAGAACAAAATGGAGAGGATCTCTTGTAGCTGTAAATTCTTATCAGCCTTACAGACAAGAACAAGAAGAGAATATTCAAGCACTTCAACAATGGAGTCATGGCAGCAATCCCTGCAAACTTCACCCATGATTTTCTTTCTTCTTCCTCTCTTGGGTCTCATAGTAATTTTCTTACTGAAATCTTCACGGAAACTGCCCTACCCACCAGGCCCAAAGGGCTATCCAATCATCGGCAACATGACCATGATGAACCAGCTGACTCACCATGGATTAACCGAGTTGGGGAAAAAGTACGGCGGCCTAGTCCACCTCCGTATGGGTCGGCTTCACATCGTGGGAGTTTCGACGCCGGAGATGGTTAGAGAGGTGTTGCAGGTTCAAGACATTGTCTTCTGTAACCGCCCAGCAAACGTTGCAATAAACTACTTGTCATATGATCGAGCCGATATGGCCTTCGCCAACTACGGTCCGTTTTGGCGGCAAATGCGCAAGATCTGCGTCATGAAATTGTTCAGTAGGAAACGAGCTGAGTCCTGGGCGTCGGTCCGAGAGGAAGTCGACTCAATTGTTCGAGCGTTGGAGAAGAAAACCGGTTCGCCGGTTAATCTTGGAGAAATGGTTTTTGCTTTAACGAGGAGTATAACGTATAGAGCAGCTTTTGGGTCGTTTTCAAATGAAGGACAAGATGAATTCATGAAGATCTTGCAGGAATTTTCGAAGCTTTTTGGGGCTTTCAACATTGCTGATTTTGTTCCTTGGTTGGGTTGGATTCATTCACAGGAGTTTAATAAGAGGCTTGTTAGAGCTCGAGGCTCGCTTGATGGGTTCATTGATAAAATCATTGATGAACACGTGGAGAAGAAGAAGAAGATAGATGATGAAGGTGATGCAGACACAGATATGGTGGATGAGTTAATGGCGTTTTACAGTGAAGATGCTTCAAAAGAAGATTTTGATGAATCCCAATCCGTCATTAAACTCACTAGAGATCACATCAAAGCCATCATCATGGTCAGAATTAATCATTCCCCTTTCTTTCATTATTACATATATAACACATATAAAACACACCTATATATATATATATCTATAAACAGAATGCTCTGCATGTGGGATTGCATGGGCCATGCAACCATGCTGGATGCTTTGTCATCATGATCTTAATGTATTCTGAAACAGGACGTAATGTTTGGTGGAACTGAAACGGTGGCGTCTGCAATAGAATGGGCGCTAGCGGAGCTGATGAAGAGCCCAGAGGATCTCAAGAGAGTCCAGCAGGAACTCGCCGACGTCGTTGGCCTGAACCGGGTCGTCCAGGAATCCGATTTCGAGAAGCTAACTTTCCTCAAGTGCGTCATCAAGGAAACCCTGAGGCTCCACCCACCAATCCCTCTCTTCCTCCACGAGACTGCTCAGGACACTGTGGTTTCCGGGTACAGGATTCCATCCGGATCACGAGTCATGATCAATGCGTGGGCTGTCGGGCGAGACAGGTCGTCGTGGGTTGACCCGGATGATTTCAGGCCGACCCGATTCTTGGAGGAAGGTGCACCGGATTTCAAAGGGACAAATTTTGAGTTCATACCGTTCGGGTCCGGTCGTAGGTCGTGCCCGGGAATGCAACTCGGGTTGTACGCGGTGGATTTGACGGTGGCCCATCTGCTTCACTGCTTCAACTGGGAGTTGCCTGATGGAATGGAAGCCGAGTGAGTTGAACATGGATGATGTTTTTGGACTCACTGCGCCTCGAGCGGTTCGACTCGTCGCAGTGCCGAGTTATCGACTGAGTTGTCCGTTAATATAGGTGGTGTGCGAATGGAGTGTGTAAATGGAGCGAGAGAGCGCACTGCTTTCTGTTTGGGTTTGTAGACACTATAATGGTCATGGATTAATTTTTCTCATATGAACGAGAGAATCAACTAAATCATCTGAGTTGTAAACTCGGTTTCGTAATTCAAAAACGTTATTTATAATCTCTATATTTATTTATACAGAGAAATGTTTGGTAGTTGAGAAGAATAAAAATAAATATATATTTCACTTAGAAAAAAGTGAATACGTATACAAATTATTTTCTACAAAATTCTGTATATTTATATATATATATATATATATATATATATATTTATGAATTTTGATTCAAATCGCAATCCTAAGAAAAATAAATAAAAATATGATACAAATAAAGCAAAAACAAAAATATTTTCATTCTAAGTATCTATCACATCTGATTAAAGGACAGATGAAAATGCACAATCCCATAACCTCTAATCAAAAGAGAAAGATACCCACCATAAACCCAATGATAGATTGAAATTTTGTGTTGAATTTTAAATTAAATATTTCTGTAATATTTTTATTAACATGCAGAAAAATTCCTGATGGGCTTATTTTTGAAGAAATGCAAATATTTTCTCATTAAATCAAAGAGAGACGTAAGGCAAAAAACCAAGTCAGCAACTAACAAAATGGGATGGCTAAGGGTCCTAAATACAGATTTATCTCATGCATCCTCCTCCCAATTTACATCTCGTTCTTATGATTTTAGGCAAGGTAAATTTGTTTCTCTGAATTCGTTTCAAAATTCAATTTCTAACAAAATATCATAAAAATTGAGTTACTAAACAAATTCCATTTAAGTAATGTAAATTTCTAAGTAAATTCCATAGACAGAGAGATTCATTTGTCCCAAACAAGGCCCTATTTTGCCTCTCCAGGATGTCACCGCCAAACAGTTTCCAAGTGAATCAGAATTGCATCAGATGAAAAATAAAAGAGAACTTGTGTTCCCACGTACATGATTTGAACCCATTCTAAGGCCCCAAAAGAATGCAATCTTACAGTCATAATGTGGAGATTCTATTTTTCCCTTTTTGATAATCAGGAAAAAGAATGGTAGTTAAAGATTTTTTTTGACAGAGAAAAAGAAATATACGTGTATCATCAATCATTGCGGCTGAAATGTAACATCTACATCAAAATCCGGACGACAGCAAGTCCTGCAGCAGATATCGAAACAAGGGTACCTATGCAGTATTTGATAACGTCGTATTTTGCTGCTTCCAATTGCGCTCTTAATGCATGGATTTCCTGCATTTTAAGAAATAAAAAATCCAAGTTAATGTTAGGATTATGGTCAACATAGAAGAAGATGGGCATATCTCAAACTAAATCTTCAGAACTCACCCGATCAAGCTTATTCGTAAGGTTAGTGGTTTCCGCATTCTGATTAGCTAGTTCATCTCGTATGCGCCTTCAACATATTAAAGAGCATAAGAAATTTCAGCACGTATAAGGCAAACCAGATTTATGTAATTAAGCAAGGGAATGTCGTGGATAAGCATAAATTGATTTTCCTTACCCCTTCTCGAGATTTAAATCCAATCGTTGTCCAGCAGTGACCTTGTCTATTTCATACCTGCCTTACAGAAATAAATGGTCTCAACATGAGAACGTCAAGGCATCTAAACATCATGTGACAAGTTAGAAACCACACGGAACGGACCTTAATTCACTGCGCATTTTCTCAATATCACTTCGTAATTTTTCTGTTTCACGTTGCAGTATAGAAAAATGATGCTCCTGAAAGAATCAGTATCAACTGCTGATAGTTGGGTATAAAATATTGTACAAAACATTATTTGAGACAAAATGAAACAAGCCCAGGTAACAATTTGGGGTTCTCTTTTTGTTTTCCAAGGAGAGGGGTATTTACCTAAACTCAACCCCAATCTTAATACCTCATTAGTAACTAGTTGCACTAAGCTATGTGAGAAAAACAAAAACAGAAATTCAAATGCATAGAGGACCATAAGATCCACAAATGATGCAATTAGAGAAGTAGTTAATCTACTCTCTCAGTAACCAATTTAAGTAGATTACCAAATCAATCTCAGTAGTTTAGAATAAACTACAGAATTTATAAGGAGCTGCAAATATGGCATCAATGATAATATAAGATGAAACCCTAGATTTGATTATTTCAATCAATAACAATCACCAGCTTTGTTTGATCACAGTTATGAGAAGTGTATATGCAAAATCATAACAGCATTGGTCCATTTTACTTGAAACTAAGGCAAATTATGCCTTCAACAACAAAATAGTCAACATGGAAAGATTTGAAGGCTAATAATTTGATGACTAATGCAGACAACAAGCTTCTACTGTTCTTTTTCTTTCTTTCTTTCTTTCTTATTTTTTTTGGTTAACCGAAAACTAATAACAATACTCTATTAACATGGCAATTCACTAGAGCATGTTGATGTGGAAATACTTGCTCTTAGAGATTTCAGAATATTAGAAAACCCAGTTCCTCGTCTTTACTGTCTCTAACAAAAAATCTGTTCTAGAACCACCATCCGTTTGCCAAATTAGTGTTTTTTTCTAATGTTTTAACAAGGCTAATGTGCCTTCACATAGAATTGACCCTTCAAAACTGTTCACAATCATTTAAATAAATAATCCGTCTTTTAGACACTCTATTCAGATAAGAAACCCACATGTCAACCTTAAAGAGGCCATAAAGGAAAAGATTCTTTATTTGATTGAGCAAACCATATAAGGGGACATGAAAAAGCATGATACTTTACATGAGTCAATAAAACTAATCCACAACATAACAGAGACACCTACATGGTGACATAACACACAGAATTCCTAATAATGGCAGTTGTATTATTTTTCATTGAAATGCTATGTTCAGCCAATATGGTATTATGTACCAATATCACAGGACAAAAAATGACTTGTAGTTTCTTGTTAACATTGTGAACTTAGTTATACACTACTCAAAAGTTC